AATTTTTATTACGAAACTTATATTATCAGCGCGACTTAGCTTTCTTAATATGAAAGTGGCCAGCCCAGAGTTTTCAAGAAAGAAAGTGCAAGCAAGCCGGATGATGATTGTCATTGCGGGACAAAAAGGCACTCTTTTTACTCTTTCTTTTCTTAGAGTGGCGTTTAACCAACATTTATTGTTCCGTACGGGGATGCTGTGACAGCAGCTCATATACTGATCTATGTTTAATATATCTGAAGTACAGATACCTATATGGATTTTGATTTTTGAGCAGTATTGCGATACAAATACAACATACTCAAAGAGTATTGTAGATACATGTATCTGTGATTGGGCCAAGCACTGGTTTATCCGAGTGAGGCTAAAGCACTCAGTGGCTGCTTCCCCCCCCCCCCCCCCCCCCCCCACCCTTTATGTTTCAGACTAATGCAATAGGAGAAACGCAGCCGACAGCCTTGGTACACCTGGAAGTTGGCGAGGTGTGCGAGAGTGGTGCACCTGTTGTGCAGCACACTGAAGAAACAGATAACTCAGAAAGTGCAGGTCTGCACTGTGATGAGGTAGACGATGTCATCAATTTGATGAGTTATTTGTGGTGTTTCACGTCCCTCGGGAACTCTGGTTACGGGAGACACTGCAGTGGAGGGCTGGGGACATTTTTCGCAGTTTGGTGTTTTTTGATGTGCAGGGAGATCTCGCAGTACGCGACCCTGTAACATTCTGTTTTCATTGGAAATGCAATAGCCACGACTGGGATCGAACCAGTGTCTTTCGAATCGACAGCCGAGCACCTGAACCACTGAGTCACTGCGGTGATGGTAATTAATTTCGTGGTACCCTTCGTGGTAACCTAGTGGCTAAAGTGTTGAGCTGTTGATTATTAGGAGGCCGGTTAGATGCCTGGGCAAGGTGGCACCTTGCCCTGGGGACAAAATGCAAAAACACATTCGCCTATTTCAAGGATTCCCTGGGGATAGAAATAAGTTTGGGGACTCTTTTGGCTTTTCTTTTCGGAAGGCAAAGCAAAAATAAGTGGGCCATAAATTCTCACAAAATTGGAGTATAACAGAAAAAATATTGAAGGTTGATAACCCAGATTATAATAAGAAACTGTCATGCATCGTAGTCATGTCAGGCTTGAGCGATACAACCAGAGACGAAAAAGTACTTTTTATTGCTCAATTATATGGACATTCTCCGTTAGATTTTGTCGCCGGCGTCGCTGTCATTCACCGTGCATGTATGTGTATCTATCTATATGAAAACGCAAGAAATAAAAATAATCCAGAAAAAGACTCCGGCGCATAGAATCAAACGTCCGACCTCTTCTTGTGAGGGTGAGACTCCTTACACGTTCAAACGGCAAGCTATTTATATCTACCACTTACTGCCGGTGACGCCCATCTAGGGGGGAACTATTGTGTTTTTAGCATTACCAGCGAGACGGCGCAATGAGCATGCATCGTCATATCGTCGGGAAGTTGCGGCGCGTGCTCATCTCGCAGTGAGGAGAATCATACACCTTGGGCTTTCACCGGAACAATTATGTTGTAGTTAATGGGCACACAAAGATCACTGCCCTCATTGTACAGTCTCTGTTTGCGAAAAGAACCCCAGGTGGTCAAAATTTTGGGAGGCCTTCATTACGGCACCTCTCATAATCATATGGTGGTTTTGGGACATTAAACTCCACATATCAATCAATCATTGCTATAAAAGCAGAGATGAAACTGGACTCAACTTTGTCGTTAACCCGATACGAGTTCATATTTAACACTTATTGTTTTGTTATAACGTTAGATAGCCAGCACTGCAACCACAATTGACGTTGCACCAACATTACACAGGCACAGTGTCTTTTGTGAAGCAGTTTCAAAAGCTGGCGTGGCTGTGTAGTAGAATACCAGACTTCCAGGCAGGATGCTTTGGTTTGATTGCAGTAGGAATCTTGGCTTTCATTCTTCACATTCATCAAGTCAACGTTGTTGGTATTGTTCTTTTGGGATGCTCTTTAATTTAAGTACCAATGAGTTTTCTCACCGTTCCTGGGCAGATATAAAAAATTAGGGGACCCTAAAGCTTCACATTTATAAGTTGAACACGATAGCGACATCTTGTTCCTAGTGCATACTTCAAACAGATGCATTAAACCTTTTTGAATTTGCTATGCACCCACTACGTGACCTTAACGGGAATAGGCGCAATAGAGTGTGTGCGTTTTGAAGTGGGGTACCGGCTTTCAACGATGGAGCCATTACGATCATCACATATTCCGACACCTGTTGGTGATGGATGCTTGTACCATGCATTATTACTGCAATATTTCATGTTGCATTGTTAAACATGTACACAGGACCCATGTGCTTGGGAAGCATGAAAGCTACTTTCACTGCATTTCATATTAGATAAGGTTCTCTTCACTGTTTTCACAAGCAGTGGCGTGGCCATGGGGTAGAACATCCGCTTGCCACGCAAACGACCCGGATTTGATCCCGACTCTGCTCTAGTGTTCTTTTTATCATTTATTTATTTTATTGCACTTTTTTAGATTTTTCGGTCACGCATAAGATAATGGATTTTCGCTCACAACCAACGATGCCGACGAATTGCTGTGATATGAGGTCTTTAACGCATTTACATTAAAATGCCAGTAACCTGTGGTGCATACTCGCATACCGTGGACTGTGGTGTATGGGTATGTACTGCCACATGTGTCTGGAGGAAAGGGTTTGACAAATGACACTATAGAATTTTCACATTATTTATGTCATGACCAGGCAGTCGTATTCCTCAAACCACCATTATCCGTATCAATTTCAGTTCATACTATCCCCCGTATTCAGAAACGCTTCTCGACTTCAACTTGAGTTGCCACCGCCTTCATTGCAGTGCGTTCGAGACGCATTTGTGCTGCAGTAAAGGCGATGGCAAGTCAAGTTCTAGTCGAGAAGCGTTTCTGAATATGGGGGTAAGCTGGGGAGATCACGAAAGCATCCAGACAAAAACTGTTGGATGGGCAGGGAGGTAGAAATAGGCATCTCACTCTGAAGTAGCGAGAAGCCTCTTTATCTCGGAGGTTTTCGTTCTTGCAATATAGTTTCACCCAGAGTCTCTGGCTCTACAAAACTGCACAGGGCAGCACAGATAGATGAAAATGCGTACTGCGCAGCTAGAACTGCATTGCCGCAGGGCCAAGGCACTGTTTTGTAAGGCAAAGAACCAATTGACGAGCTCAGTGGTGCATAATGCTGCCAATGGGCAAGCTTTTGTAAGACTGCGCGTATGTGGGGGATTGGTCAGACGAAGGAAACAAGCGCGAGGATATTTTTCAAAATGGAGGGTCTGTGCTGCGTTCAGAACTATTCAGCACATGGAATCGCCGTAGTCTACTGAATGAATTGGTGAACTTGTCTGGGCAGAATAAAAAAAAGCCCATTTACTGGCCCTTTAGGGCCATTCTATGCACTACCCGCGCCCCCGCAACGCCCGTGCTGGGACCCCTCTGGGACCCCTGCCGCACGCAAGCGGGACAAAGTATACCAATTGGCGACGCTTTTTTACCCTCCGCTTGGGTGCAGCAGGTGTGCCGGCACGTGCGTTGTAGCTGTGCGGCTAGCGCATGGAACAGCCCTTAACAAGGTCAATCTACATAGAATTTGTTAAGCTGGTGAGCAAGCCTGTCTTCAAGATCCTCATGTTTTTGGTTCGTCGAAATTTTTTCTAGTTGACATGCACATTAAAATCTCGCTTTGTTTTTGCTACTCATGGTCACAGGCCTCGCACAAGCAAAAAGGACGGGAAACTGCTATCATCGACTTGCAAAATGAATCTCCTCACATGAGTGTTCAATATATTGACATTGTGACTTCATGTTTGCTCTTATGTTTTCTAAGATGTACTCTAATTTACGTATGTTCTAATACACTCTAAGAATTCACTCTATCACAGCATATTCGTACTGGTGTGCATACTCTTTCTCACTTTCAGCATTCTTGTCAGTGCTTCCTTGATCGCAACGAACGATTTCGATTGTGCTGTCAGTGCAGGTGGTCTGCATGCTTCGTCGTTGCTCAGCACATAGTCTCCAAAGGGGCTGTCTGCCCTCCTTTTTCTTGCTAGCTTAAGGTGGCAAAGGGAAGTCAGGTGGAAATCTTAAGGGGCAGGCTACCCCCCTTGCCGCCTGTGGTTAGGACTTGTATTAATACCTATTTATTATTTTATTTGATATGTGGGCCTAACAAATAACCGAAATTATATTTTAAGGATTAGTATTTGAAAAAAGGCCAAATCATGGTTGCCATCGTCCCTTAGGATTCATGCATACTGCAAGAAAACTGAAAGGAACACATACTGCAAGGAAGAAAAAAATCAGGGATTTAAAATATATGTAAATTTCTTGTTTCCACCTATTCTAACCATTAATTGTATTCTGGTAAGCAGTTGAACAAACGTGCTGGTGATGTCAGATTATAATGGTACCATTTCTGTGGCTAAATACTACAAGCATCTTAATATATATATGCAGCAAATGTACAACGTGGTCATCTGGGAATAGTTGTTAAAGAGCTGAAGAAGAGAAAAGCTTGTCCTTGATTGAATGTAGGTCAAGCTTTGTTATCCCACCCACACCTGTCTATATATAGGTAATATAAAGAAGCTCATGTACTGAACACTGCCAGAATTATAAGTTCGCTTGTGGGGCAGTACTTTTCAGTTAGTTTCTCAATACTTTTGATGACAACATTGACTTCTCAACCTGAATGCGCTTTGTAATGGAAGCTCTTAATCAGAAAAAAAACACAATTTGTTGGACAACTTAACACTGCTTAGAAGTACTTGAAGAAACATCAATAAAGGCCTTCCTAATGATACCTTCAAGTAATACTTTTATGGTGGTGACTTGTATGTGGCCTGATGTCAAGGGAAGTTGTGTGTCTGAGTCATCTTAGGTTGACCACCTAAAATATGTGAGTCAAGAGTGTTCCAATAATGCTCACCTTGTAGGCATAGTTGAGGCCACCATGTGTTCCTCCTCTCACTTTCTTCTGCCTCCTTGCTACCCCAATGCAGGGCAGCTATGCAAAGTACTACCTCTATGGCAGTGGCAAGCCTACACCAGGCCAGGCTGCGACCAAGGTGCCGTTTCCTTTTCTCTGTTGTCTCTCTCCACTGGCCGCCACTGCACCTCCTTTGCATCTCTTCAGAGCACATCGGGGTTTGCCGGCCACGCATTCTGCCAGCATTTCTCCCCCTGGCACCTGTCCAGTTCTCGCGTTTAGCTACCGAACTAGTTGCCAGAGGAAGAAAAACCAAACAGAAAAGATGTGCCTGCAAGCAGAAAACTCTCCCTGCATGTTCCCCTGCCCACCCACCCAGTCTCTCTCTTTTCTACCACCTCACGCCTGTCTTTGCATTGAAAAGACAGGATAGAGAGTGCTGCTGGTCGGAGAGTGAGTTGTTCCTTTTCTGTGCTGGATAGAGGGTGGACCGCATCTTCCCTTTGCTGCTTTTACCTTTTCTTTCTGCTTGTTTGTTTTGCCATGAGCTGTCAGGAGGAAGGGTGATGCTGCCGTTATCGAAGCAGCTCTATTTATCCTCCCCACTCGCTATTTGTCTCCTCCTTCTCCCCTGCACTGTCTGCCGTTGCATTCTGCCTTGTCTCGTGGCTTTCTTGTTTAGACAAGCTCTCTGAAACTTTGTGGCAGGCCTCTTCACCTCTTTTGTTTATTTTTACTTATTTTTAAGCTGTATTCTGCTTCTTATTGCTTTTCACTTTAGCCTACTAACTGTTCTTTGAGAAACATCCTTTAAGTGGTATCCACATAAGGAAGCAATTCGCTTTCCCTTTTTGAGGAGAATGCTGTACATGACCACTGTGTCATTCCTTTGTCAGGCAGCTCCCCACAAGGAAACGGTAGCATGAGCTCTCCAGATCTGCAAATGCTACCCCACACCAGTGGATGCGAAAACATTCAGGCCTTCATGCATGCTCTTGCTGAGTGGCAGCGCATGACCTTGGTGCTCACTCAGACCGAGAGAGAAATACCCACTGGTATTTCATGAACCTGGGAGAAATTTCAATAACTATACAACTATGGAAGCAGCAGCTGCATCCATCCGTGGTGACTATAACACAGTAGAAAATTCGATATCAAAAGCAAATTATAATTTATAACTGCCAAGTTCTTTATGAACAATGGACATCAGGCTTTACATAATAGTCATCAGTGTGGTTGCTTGTTTTACTAACATAATAATTAAAACCCTTGCTAAAGTACAAATGAAGCCAGCTAGTGCTCCTAACATAACTTTTGGCTGAAAGGTTAGTGTCTGGCATTTCTTAGAATGATAGACTTTTAACAGCGAATAAATATCATAACTTCGTCATCAATCAGTTTACCCCCGGCTTTAAATGCTTAATTCTTAAAAATGGTACTAGGTAAAAAGAACAACGTCATATGCTTTGAGTTCTGGATGACTTAAAATATTCAATAGTAACATGTCTCATAAATAAAATAAGCAATACAGTTACATGTCTCATAAATAGAATAAGCAATACAGTTATTACTGAAAATTGTCTAATTAATAGTTATAGTTGGAATATCACATTAATCTTAATGATTACTATTACTATGAATCTTAGCCATTAAAAATAATCATTTTGTCTTGAAACCTTCACATTCAGCAAACCTGAGGCAGTCATCATGAAAACACGTGGCATGCTTTAGCTGCTACTGGGCATCATGTAGTCGAATCCATGTGCAGTTATGTAACTTGGGTATTGTGCACGATTTCTTTATTACTGCTGCATGTCTGCTTACTGCCAGTAAACAATCCAAGGGAGCATTTTTAAAATAATTTCGTTACAATGCTATTTTATTTGTTATTCTCAGTATACAATGTGCTTATGTTTATCATCTATGCTATGTCCAAACTAAGAGGCTTCAGGTTATAGTAGGTATACTTCACAAAGCATTACCTCATTCATATTATTCAGTCTGTCAGATATTGATATAGAGTGTGCAGAATAAAAATATTTGTTCATTAAGTAGTAAAGGTAAAAAAGTTCTCTCGGTAGCATCAGCGAGTAATTTATCTGGGGTAGAAAAGCAATGCAAAATTGCAGACTATGCAGACATAAAAAACCTCTCATTTCATCACTGGGATTGTGTGCCATGGTAAAATTGTATATTATCCCCTTCTGAGGCCAATCCTATGAGCTGTCAGCAAAATTTTAAGTTCGCGCAACATAATTTGCTTAATGAAAAAGTGACCAAGCTACGTGCTACTGCAAAGTTCATGAACGGCATAATATATGCTTATGTGTGTTAAGGATGCTTAATTCCAAGAAAGAATATGAATTAACAGGTTGTTTTATGAGTTGCAAAAATAATTATAATGTGCATGTAATTACATATTCAGTTATTTTATATTTGCTTATGTGTGTTAAGGATACTTAATTTCAAGAAAGAACATGGATTAACAGGTTGTTTTATGAGTTACAGTAATTAATTATAATTGGTATGCAAATAAATAATCAGTTATTTTGAGGTCAGTCATGTCAATTTTTTTATAAACGGAATCAAAACATAGTCTATTGTATGCATGATTTGTTTGTAGTTATATTATACTTCTGAGTAAGCAAAAATAATACCCCTGTCACACGGGCACCCGCGAAGACCATTTAACTCCCTCGTCCTTACGACAACGAAAATGCGATCCGTGTCACACGGCCACCCTTACGCAAACGAAGGTAAACGGAGCGTTTCGCAAAGGACGTTCAACGATCTCCCTTCGCAGCGAAACGAGGTACTCTCGTCCCCAGCAGTCTAGAGGGCAGAGAAAAATTTCGAGCACTAAGTGGCCGCAGTGAAAGAATAATACATTTTGGCAATCTTAAACGTCTTTTCATTGTACTACTCATTCACAACGCGTGCTTCTTTACATATATTTACGCCCGCCAGAGTTCACTTACTCTCAACACCGATGCTCTACACTCCCCGCCTCGCACGTGGTGCCTCGCGAGTCGGGCCGGCCGGCGCCATTGAAAAATATTTCGTCCATGCGTGTGGTTGTGGTCGTCGCTGTGTCACTCATGGCTGAAGAACACGAAATGTGCGCTCACGAGGCAAGGAAGCACAAGAACTTTCGCACACGGGCATGAACACAGGCAACAAAACAACTAAAAGCACAATGTGGCCAGCGTCACTAGCAGCATCGCTACAATTAGCGAATTCGTTTTTATTTGAAAATATTTTTATGGTTTGTTAGCCTCTTACCTCCTTAATAGTGTTTTTTTGTAAAAACCCCATAACGAGGATTCACGAAAAAAATTAATAGAGATGAAATTAGAATACTTTTCCAAAAATCAAACAGCGCCAGCTGAGCCCCCTCACGCCAACTGTTACAACCTTTTCATTGCCGTGTGGCACTGCCACAACTCCTTCTCCGTCGAACCACCTAGGGGAGATTTACGTTGACGGTGTTCAACGGAGTTTAGTGGTGGCCGTGTGACAGGGGTATAAGGCTTCTGTCGCTGGTCCGGAAATACGGCACGTTGAACGACCTGTCGAACGTCCTAGTGCCTTGACCACAGTGATTGGCCATAACCATACCCAATCCGGTGAGGTTCATTCAAGACACATTCACTGTTCAGAAGGTTCAGTTCATTCCATGTACAAGTTATCTTGCTATTTCTTGGCCACAAGTCCGAAAAACTGTCCAAAAATAAAGTTCAGTCCATACACATGGGCATTGCACCTCAAGAAGGTATTGTATCATTTTTTGGCAGCACATCCATGTGTCAGTATCAGACATCGTTGCTTTCAGCTGTAAATCTTTATATGTACCGATGGTACTCCACGCCTGTACTAATTACGTTAGCCTATGAAACTATAAACGGGGTTTTGAATGGACTTGCGCACGTCTTGCAGTGCAAAGTTTCATTTCATTTTCAAGTGCCCTAAAGTTATTAACCCGTGTCTTTACTTTATTTCTTTCTTTTTTTCTTTTTTTCGTGCAGCAAAAGTATTTTCAAGATGACCTTGCAATGGTAATTTTTTTTCTGTCCGGATTCTTTAAAACTCCAGTAAGAATTTACGTGGTGTATTTGACACTTTCGCATTGATTTGTTTGCACAGGTTTGTCCACCATACTATGGCATGGTCTACTATCCACCACCACCGCCTTCGACGACAGTTTCTAATTCAACCACAGTAAGCTATGAATTTTTCACTGTTCTTTTTGTTTTTAACAGCGTGCTGCAATATTCTTGTTCTTGAAGTAATAGGGTGCAGACTTTTATATGGAAAGACATATCTTAATTGCAAGAAAGGTGTTTATACTGTCAGGCTCAATACCCTAATAAAAAAAAAGTGACCTAGCTATCTGTTGCTGCGAAGCTAATCAACAGGGTAAGACAGGGGTCTCAAACACGCAGCCCACAGATGTTTCTCTGGCAGCCTACAACGTCACAAGGAATTAAATGCATGTGACTTTGCTAAATAGTAGTCACATAACTTACTCGTCTATTGTAAATAATAATGCTTTGTTCAGGTAAGCTACAGAGACAGGACTGCTCGCAAGCATTTTTTTCTGTGAGCGCCATATGAGGTAACCACTGTTTGAAATTAAGCACAAAACAAAATCCATATCTCAGAATTGTTAATATCAATACCAGTACACTTCTTGAATTCTGATGCCAAATTACCTTCAGAAATTATGCATATATGAAATATGGGAAATGCATTCTTTCAAATGACAGCATTAGGTGATATTTTGGTACCCACAACCTTTCCGGTTCAACCTTCCTTACTGCACCACACCTCGCGGTACTAAATTTCAGGACTGATGCCCACTAGCTGAGGAGAGTTTAAGAGCCCTGGTGTAATACAAGTTTATGCATGTCAATCAGCTCCCTTTTCTATGGAAAGAAATTGCACTCCTCTCTTCAGAAAATTTTCTAAAAGGGGAATGTACTAAGGACTGGGGCCAATGAAAATTTATTGTTTGCTACCGTTCCCCACCATTGTACAGATGTAAGTAATGTTCACCAGTAAGCTGGTGAGTAATATTGCATGACATATTCAATAATTGAAAATCCTGCCTAATTTTAAAAGATATATTTAAGTTAATTTACCAAAGTACGCTTTACGAATTGGGTTAGATATTAATCTCGGAACTTTAGGTCACTTTTTTGTACTTTCAAAGAATAGGGAGAAAGTAAGAGCTTATGATTTTTATGTATAGTGCTGACCGCACCCAGATACTATCTGCAGTCATTCAAAGGCATTCACAACTTTTGGGGGCAATTTCACTGAAGAAAATAATGCAAAGCCACGAACATCTGACATTTATTCTGTGGGTTGCATGTGTTTTGTACTGATGCAGTAGCTGTGTCTAATATTAATGGCTTTTTGTTGTTCGCTCACGACCTGTCTTTTTTTGCTATACTTAAGCTTACTGAATTGCAAGCTGGCTCTTTTTTATGCTAATGTTTACTTTCCCCGCCACATTGCTATTTTTACTGAAAAATAAAGACCCAACTTCTGCACCTGCAACATTGCATGTGTTATATATTTTTGTTGTAAAGAGAAAGAGCAGCAAGCAGCATTCTTGCTATTTCACTGCAATTCTCGCATTGATATTCTCTCTGTGCACTAAACAGATTGTGTTCCAATCCTCTCTGTATGCACCAGAGCAGTGCTAAGTATGTTACTATGACAGCATCTGACAGATGTAAGCGAGGTTTGCTGCGTCTGTCTGTCCACCCAGCCTATTACCGTGCTGTTGTTCAGCCACCTGATCATCATCTGAAGCTGTCGTCAAACTTTTGGTATCTTGAAGTTTGAAGTGAACTGCGCTGTCAGAACACCCGAACACAGTGAACACTGTAAATCAACAAACAACACGTGTACATTCATTAGCTGCTTTTACACAGCGAGCTGGCTAGGCAAATCTTAAGAAATGACTACCGTAAAATGCCGAGCAAGTGCCCTCACCCGAGCAAATGCCCCCCTTCCTTTTTTTGGGAGATCTGAAATAAGCGCTAATGACCCAGCAAGCGTCCCCCGCCACCCCCTCTCGTCTTCCTTGTGGCCAATTCATTTTTCAAGAGAAGTATCGCTTGTGTCGAAAAACCCACAAAAACGAATACACTGAGTGTATATAGTATATAATGTTTATGGAATTCTGTTGTCATGTGGCCACTCGTATATTTTCCAAACCGGTTGCTGGTTCAATAATGACACTTGTATCAGCTCATCCTCACTGACATTATCAAGAAAAGAAATTATCATTATCAAGGAAATAAATAGACTGTAAGATTATCACTGGTATTGTTCGTGTTCAAACCTTATAAGGTATTGTACCTTCAAAAAATAAACTCGGTTGGAAGTCTTTTGTGCATGCAGGCTACGTAACCATATCTCCAGTAACCATTTTTAGTGGCTCTCCCACTGCCAGCTTGAATATCAGCCTTCACCGGATAGGTGAGTGGGTGGGAGGGTTGCTTGCTCATATTTTACAGTAGTAACATGATGAATAGAACAGTTGAATGCCAACACTCGGAGAACATACACAAAACAACATAACACATACAATGTACCGTGAATGCGGTGTCGCCAGCGTTTGACATGCCACACGAGTCCGTGGGACCAAGCTGCTGAATCACCTCCACGGACGCATGCACAACAATAGGCGACCATTCAGAAACGTTGCCATACCCCAAAAACTACTGTACCATATGCGCCAGCCTAAGCTCTCTCCCACCAGGCAGTGCTGCTAGCGCCACTGCACTATGGTTATCGTGTAAGCAAAGCACCACGTCTCTCACTCGGCGGCGTTAAAGCTATCTAAGACTAGTCCACCAGGCACACGCGCACCATAAAGCAAACGCGCCTTTACAGGGAGCGAGAACAGCACCACGATATGAAGGCTCTCGTTGCAGACACTGTCTCCTTTCTACAATCCTGATATGTACAACTAATGTATGCAACAAAACTAGTGCGCACTGCGTACAACCTCTATGTGTTCCAATACAGCACCGGAAGCATGGTCATTTCTAGGCTGCCACAACCATATTATGATGGGGTGGGGGAGGGAGAGGAAGTATAAAAAAAATGCTTGTGTATTGTGCTTTGTATATACATTTATAGACCACGCATTATTGAACTTAATCCAGAACTTTGTGCTACATCTCTCATAACCTACATGTTGCCTAGGTCAAGCATAGTTGGTGGGCAGTCATTTGCAGCATCCATTTCATTGATGCAATCATTTTTCAACACTGCTGTAGGAACGGCTGTTTTCAATACTGAATTTAAGTCGACAAAGTTTTTTTTATCATTCTCGCATTGTCATTGCCCCTGTCATCATGGTGTTTTTGTAAATGCTATCCATAATTGCTTTTGCCGTCGTCAATGTTTGTGTCATATAGTTGTAGACTTTCTCCGGGATTCAAGAGTTGGGCAAAAACTGGAGGCATTAAGAGTTGTTGTGAAAGTAATTGCTGTCACAGTAAGTTTGTTCAGAGCTGTAGGAATCACTCAACTTTGATATTATTGTAATTATTATTTCTTATAATGGTATGGCTTAGCAAGACAAATCTGGCTAGATTGATTTATGCCAGCAGTGTATGTTCATGCTACTATTAGCCTGCAAGCTTTGGTTTACTGTAGTATGCTTAGTGTAGTGTATTTGTCAGTACCCAACAACAGCGATTTTAACTGCCAAGCATATATCTGAAAAAAGGCAGGAGTCAGGGGAAGATGGAACCTTGTGATGAAAAATTCATAAACGAGGGTGTGCTGGAGCCAGTGTTTCGACAAGTGGATTTTTTTTAGGCTTTTGATGAATACATGTCTGCTTGTTGAAAGCTTGGCTCCAGCTCAACTCTCTTTACAAGTTTTTCATCACAAGCTCATATCTGGCCTTTCATTAATGCTTCACGTGGTACATTTGTTACATTAAGTTTTATTGCCGCACTGTTTATTTGCACTTTCCTCATTTTTAGTTATATCAACTGTTTAAAGTTATCTTCCTCCACATCTCTGCCTCGGGTCATATTGTACCTGAGGCCTCAGGCCCTGTTGTCATTCTTCACTATCATTAGGCTTTTTTTTATATACTTGTTGATTGCAACAAGCAGCACACTGTTACAAGGTCTGCACTTAGAAGCAACCTAACCATCAGCATCTGATATTGCATACTGGTTCTAGGCGACGAAGAAAAGTTATGGGGAGTGTTTTGAAACAATAAGCATCTGTCGATTGGCCTGAAGCACACGATTCTCATGCCAGGGTTTTAACACACTTTCTCTTATCAAAGAAAAACCTGTAGGTCTTGCACTACGAGGCATTATAGATTTTCTTCCCTTTTTAACTGTCGTGTCTCTATCACAGAAAGTTTCCTCCGGTCAAGGGATATATTTCATTTTTCCCCCTAATTTTGCAGTTACCATTTGTAGCTTATACCTGAAGTGAAGTTGAAGTAATTCAACTTTCACGTGTTTTCTTACTTATTATTTTTATTTTCATTTCCACCTGATTTTCTTTGTTTTCAAGGTTTGTGATTATGTTGTTGCTATGTAGATTTCAGACACTGTTTAGGTTTGCTTGTTTGTCTACCAGTTTGTTATTGCCTTTGTTTCTGTATTTTTTTGTTTCAGACATTTTCTTTGAAAGGCTGGCAACCGTAGACATTTGAAAAACAGGTAATAGCCCAGCTTCGCTTACAAATGACTTCTTTGAATGCACAAAAGACTAGTTCTGCTCTTACTTGACAGCAGCCACGTGCTTCCAGTTATCTGTGTAAGTCATTTGCTTTCTCACACTTCTGTAGGCATCACCAAGAGAAGGCTTCTACACTGCAGCAGCAAGACCTGTGGTATGTTTAAATCTACGACTTCTACACTTTAGCTCCTTGCTAAACACTTAAATGCATTCTATCATGTTATGTGCTATGTTCGTCTTGAGATTTTGCAATTATAAGTGCATAGCACCTTCTGAGCCACCTAGAGCAAAGAGAATATTGATAATAATTTCGCTTGAGCTTTCCTTGGCTACATTGCCTGTTTGCTTCATAAGCTTGTTGCTAAAGTATTGAGCCCCTCCCTTTCCCTCAATTTTCCGGATAAGTTTAGGTACTCGAGGTACTCACAGTAAATGAGAATAACTCTTATTTTTAGGTAAGTAAACACAGTGATTTAGTTTGACGAACTTGTTGCTTTATTTCAATAGTAATAACAAGGACGTATAATAAATATTAGCAATATCATTCTAGCTCACGTTCAACATTGTCACTTTGTGTTACAGTGCAGGTTGACTGTAACTGCGTTTTAGAGTCGTTAAGACATTGCATCACAATTCTAGATATGTACAAGACAACTGATAGCCAAAGTTCCACCTTTGCCCAACCAAAAATGTTTTGAATGGAAGAGCAATTTTTGTGCATTTTCATCAACATTTAAATGTCACTATAATACATTAAGTTTTCTTACTACCTAAAGAATTGTTGATCCATATTATGAATGCTGAGGAAGAAAGAAAAACTTGCATCTCAATCCTTTCAGTTGTCATACAGCGCATTTTAAACTTTAGTCGTAGTGATATTTTATAGATGTTTTAGAGAAAATCTATGAGCATGGTGTATGTGGCAGTAATGCACAAAAATCTTAAGGGTAGACAGATGTATTTTGCCACTAATCAATTAAGCTTGATGTTCTTTGCCACTAATCAATTAAGCTTGAGAAGACTAATTAATAAAAATATGTTTAAAAGATTTTCATTATTGTTACAACCGTGGTGGTGGTCATCAAAAGGGGTTGTTTGTAGGTAGTCATATGTAACCACAGGCCCATAATTTATAAAACACTGAGCATCTCTCTTAATCCGAGACATGCATCTTCAATTTTTAGTGCACAGTTCTGTCACCAGCGTGAGCTGGAAGTGCGACCAAGGTAGCGGCTCTGTTAAGTCAGACTGCGGAAATGCCCAATGACGAAGTGTTGGATGAAACTTGAAGGCTAGGCAATTTGTTTGTGCCTGTGAGAGTGCTTTCTGCTTTGTCTGACAAGCATCTGCAATCACATTCATTTTAGTATCTCAAAATCTGGGATAGGTGGGCAAACTGGTGTGATAACATAATAAAACACATGCAGATGTCATGTTGTCCTCTCATTTCTTGGTCTTCATATTTCAACCATTTTATTCATTAGGATGTCAGTATCTGCTGTGATATGTCGTCATTCAAACTTTTTTGTCACATTCTTCGTCATGGGGCATTTAACATCATGGTGGGGCTGCCTTGCTAATGCTCTCATGACGCTCAGTTTCAATGATACCCAGACTTAGCTTTGAAAGTCTGTTATGGATACTGTTAACATGATAAATATGTGCTTAATCTTTACATCAACATATTGCATTCTTGGTTAAACTAACTGCTAAAGATTTGAAAATTAGTTACGAAGTTGCACTTTGCTCCACATGTCAGTGGCACTTGTTGAAAGTGTTTCATACCAACGTCACTGTGGATTTCAACCCAGAAATGTTTTATAATTGTGCATGGTAATGCACGAACTGATTTGTTTGTTATTTTTGATTGTCTTGTTCTATAGGTGTTCTACGCATGGCAGCTGTTTTGAATCACAGTTATATGCTGGCTCCTGGAAAAAAACCAGAAAACCACTTTATTGGCTGCATTGCTTAAACACTGTGATGCAGTTTTGCAGCATTTACCTGCGTCTTGCTTGATTTACTGACAACATGTGATTCATGCACTGTTTTGTCACTGCCACCATCACCTCATTGACCTGCAAACAAATTTATTTTGTTGCTTGGCTAGTCTTGTCAGTCTCTCATTTACTTATGCCAACTTTATCCTACCTTACTGTGAGTAAACTAGCTTGTTTAACTGGTACTTTCCTACTCATTTTTCTTGCAGCTTGCTTTCCTAGTGCTACTGCAGACATGAAATGCCATGAAGTCACAGCTGCTAGCTTGCTAATTTATTATTAATTTTCTGACAAGGTTTAAATTTTTCCGTCTACTTGGTATTCTTAAGCCTGTTCATGAATGATGCAGTGATGCAGGCAGGGAGTTTTTTTTTTTTTCTGTGAAGTAAGGAAATTAATGGAGATAGTGCAAATCAAGCATATGCACTCTTCATTCTTTTTTAACTAAAAAGGAAAGTGCAGGAACTCGCTTGCAGTGGGCCAGACAAATGTGAAGAGCATTCATATGGTCCCATGTTTCTTTTTCTCCTCCAACTTTATCTTCAGGGCCCCTATTCACCTTACTTTGGAAGTCCTCGAACACCATATCGTTTCAAGGTGACATGCTTCACTGCAGTTATTAATTTTTTTGTGGCTCCTCTTTTGTGCATGTTCTTACTTTGAGCACTTTTTATTTTTTTCTTGTAACTCCTGCTTTTAATTTGCTGTTGCACATTCTAGCATCTGTAGCCTGCCATGTAAGCAAATGTGCAGACCATAAAAGTTTTCTTTATGGTAACATCTTGTGAACTTATTGAACATAGTAGGGTGCACTATACACTCTACACTGTGTGCATTGCGCACTGTGCACTGTAGTGTGCCCTGCACACACTGCGCTGCACACTGTAGTGTGCACATGATCAAAAGCACGATAGCAGTACTGGCACATTAAAATGCAACATAAAACAGTTCCCACATTTGTTTCATGAGCTATAGGCCTAAAACTGGTATTAGTTTTTCAGTCTGCTTGGTGGTAGTTTCATGCATAGTGATTTCTGTGCTCACGCTGTCTTGTTATTTGCACATAAGTGAACCATGAAGCTTGAGCCCATACTTATTTCTAAAATAAGAATGTGCATTGTGGACTGAAGTGTGCTAGCTTTTTTGTTTCTCAGTGTTCAAAATGTCATGAAAAGGTGCTCACAAGAGATGTGCACACTTCTAGGTTAACATGAAAATATGTCTGGCCAAGCCTTACGTCAAGGTTTAGTTTATCCTACTGTATTTTGGACATGTATTTTCTTGGGCTAGTTGGTAAAATTTACTCAGAAAATTTTAAAGCACAAAATTTGGGACCATAATGCAGGCTATACGATTAAGCACTTAGCGTAACAATAGAGCTATAAAAGCATTTTAGGTGTGTAAAACTAGAAGGCCCAAACCTGACTACCCATTGCAGCATTTATGGTAGCTATCCACCGTTAAAGAATATGGGGGTTGTTGGCTAGAGGAAGAAAAACTAGAATGCGAGATTTTGGCAGTGACAGTGGTGGAAATTTTGCACCCAATATGCATGTTAGTGTGGCTTTGGTGACTTTTTAAAACAAAAAGGCACGTTTTGTCTGTTATAAAAGTTAATACTATGGCCCATTATTTGCATTTTTGGGGTTCTATGTCCTTTTTACCAGATGCATTTTGTTGATGGTGGTCACATATTCAATTGTTAAGTTATAGAACAAAATTTCGCTCTTGCCATCTGCATTCTTCATGTTGTTTGAATTTTTTTGGTGCTGTATTTAAAGAATATTGGGCATATGCATCCCATTGTATTATCTTTTTTGGGGTCCCTTTCACCTCTTGATCATTTTTAGTCATTTTTCCCATTAGGTAAAGTTAGGCGCCCCGCCGCGGTGGTCTAGTGGATAAGGTACGTGGCTGCTGACCCGTAGGTCGTGGGATCGAATCCCGGCTGTGGCGGCTGCATTTCCGATGAAGGCAGAAATGTGTGCTCAGATTTGGGTGCACATTAAAGAACCCCAGGTGGCCGAAATTTCTGGAGTCCTCCACTACGGCATCTCTCATAATCATATCCTGATTTTGGGATGTTAAACCCCGCATATAAATCAGTCAGTCAGATCAAGTTAGGCCTGGATCATGCATTAATGATTGCTTCAGTGGTGCAGCGAGGCAGAGATTGTTCGTAATAAGTTGTGTACAGTGCAAAGCCATTAAATTGTTTTTAAATGTATCAGCCTGCACATTTTTCATTCGACTGTTGATATCTCAGCACTCATTTGTAGTACTCATCAAATGGAAGCAGTATGCACTCAGTTCATGATAGAGGGAGAAACTTTTTTGCCCTAGCTGGCATGATTGTTTCGACCCACATTCTAAGCAACTAACTTTTGCTTTTTTTTAAATGTGGTTATCTGTTGAAAATGGATGTAGAAAAGCTGGTGGACTTGCAATCTTAAACGACTTGTGTGTACTAGTTTTGTCACCTCATTACCGTAGTTCCCTCAATTCATTTGAGGAGAAACAGAGAAGTCATTCTTTCAGAAACATGTTTTAGCTCGGGTGCTTATGTATCTGTCAAAGAGATATTGGGCTGGCCTTATTGATTATTTTATATAGAAATGAAGTTAGTGGTTTGCACACTTTGTGATTGATTCTTCGTTGCTTGGTGGAGAAACTGCACTGAAGGAGCCAGGTCGAAACAAGGCCTTGGAATTAGACTTTGCAATGCCTGACTGGGCAGAATTGGGGCTTTGTAGTGTAGGGCTGAGCTGTGTCCAAGCAATGGTTGAAGTTCTTAGTTTTAAGAACCCTTTGCACATTTCTATTGTCTGCCTAAATGTTTTGTGAAAAACACTGTTCGGCGGTGGCTCATGCAAGTTTTGTAGTCATGGATAATAGGGAGAAAAAGTACATGTCAAATTTTGCAGCACAGTTCAAAGAAGGCCATTCATTCGGAACAAAAAAAGAAGTGCTGGCTTGGAGAACTGGTACATATTCACATGGGAAGTGACTATTATATTTCAGAGTTTCACTCTTGTAGCAAGCACTTATAAACTGAAGTAAAGTACCCGCTTTGTTTTATGGTAGCATTAAAGGTTTTCACTTGGAGAGTAGAGTTGATGGGATGAGCATAAAGGCATGCATTTTTTAATGTGGGTGATTCCACGAGAGATCGACACGGGTTCAAAAGTTGATATTTTAGATTTCATTGAGTATTTTATATTTAGTGCACCTCTCACCAGGTAGCCCGAAAGTCAACTTCATTTTATTATTAACGGCATAACTTACGACAAAAAGATATCAAACTTCACCAGCACGGAGGCATCAACTTCGTCACCTGTCATTTTCGAAAATTGCAGATGCTATAAAAAGACAAATATTTTTGTTTCAAGGAAGATATTTTTTACCTGAAATGCATGTCTAATGAATGAATTTATGCGGTTTCAAGTTTGTAGACCTTAAGAAAATAGCTTTTAAAGATGTCTAATTTTGTGACAGTTTAAAATAAGTTACGTATTCCCCATTTTTTTTCTCCGAAAGTGATGCAAGCAGCATTTTCAAACTTGACACGTTTTAAGGATATAGTGTGTTCATTAGGTACATAAATTATTGCTGCCGTAGGGCAAATGTATATCTTTAGTTATTGCCTCAAAATTCTCATATTGGCAAAAGTGTACTCCACTGAAATTTGAATAATAAAAAAACCCCATTTTCGATTTTTCTTGAAATCTCATAAATAGACAATCGAAGGCCATCATACAGTAATATAGAAAAACATGTTGCATTATTTTGTTTTTAGCGACAATATTCGTGGTACAAATCAGAGCTTTTCGAGAATGCGTTACTAAGTTGAGAAATCTAGAAATCGGAACGGAAAAGCGGCAATAAGCTTCAAGCGTGAGTAAACGTGACCGCATTTGGTGAAGAAAGGCTGTTTTAGCACTGTGACAAATAGGTACCTATGAAGGCGCATTTATGCTCCTGATAACACAGCTCTAATGGAGGAAATCTTCGACACTGTAACTCAGTTGCAAAACATCTGTCTATATTTGCAGATAAACTCAAACATGAAAATGTTCCAATGCAAGCGTTGGGACTCGCTAGAAAAAGCATATGCACTTGAAGTACCCTCACTGGTATTTTGGTGGTGACTGCGCAAAACAAGAGATGCACTCAAAATGGCTGCATCTTTTGCAGATTACATTGAGCAGTACGTGATGCTAACAAAACGCGACCACGATCAGTGCCCTCAGATGTGCCTAGCCAAACATGCCAAGAACGTATGCCTGGAACACGTGGCAACGATTTCCACTGGCTCTTCTTAAACTGACGGAATGTTTCTAGCTCGTCTGCATTTGCACACAGCAGCTTGACATTCTTGAGCTTCGCGCTCATTTGCGCCACCATTTGGGATGCTGACATAATCACAGCTGAGCTTGCCGCTCTGAGGTTGTAGAGCGTAGCCTGATGCTTTAATAGGCCACCAACGCCGTCACAAGAGCTCTTGCCATGTCCTGTGGCCGAAAAAATCCACTTTGTTGATATATGATCTTTCTGACATCTCGAACAACTGGTACTTGTTTTTGAAGTGACTGCATGCACCATCAGAAACATAAGTAACATGCGTGTCAGGCTTAAGTTATTCCTTCATATAGTTGTGGATTATTTGTAGAGCAAAACAGGCATGTGCAGCATCATGGCATGTGTCATCACTGATAACGGCAAAACTTTGAATTGATTGCTTCCTTGTGACGACACACGTGAATATACACACCTGTCTTTTGTGCCAGTGATATGACTGTACCTCATTCGGTAAAATGGTTGTCCAATTTTTGGCGAAATCAAAGTGAAAAATGCAAGATTCTTTTTCTTGGTTCTCTTTCGCCTGGCGTATTGCTGATTCTTGAATGTATCTTATGTAATCATGGGTAATTCACTTCACGAACCATAGACCTAGCTCTCGCAGAAAAGCACTTGCCTGGGCTATCTTTTTACTAGATCGCCATTTTTCCATACTGCATAGGCTACCTCAATGTCTTCAGAGATTCCTAAACATGTGGCTGTCAGAGCGTCCTCCTTAGCACAATAGTCACAATGGCCTAAAAAACAATCACTTGTAGGGGAGCTGCAAAGACATAGTTCTTTCAAGAAGTCCGCCGTGTAGGCACCATCGGTGACGTCCTATAGGGCAGAAACACACTCCGTGGCATTAGCACAGTATATACAAAGGCACACTTCTTGGTATGGTGCAAGAAGAACCCACTTCGGCCTCAGTGAATAAAACTTTGAGAGCCCAATATACGTGTTCGGATTAACTTCTCTAAAGAGACGGTAAACCTCTCGCACCGAACGGGTCATAAACCTTTTCGAAACAAGCTCTTTTTTTTCCATCAATGATAACAGATACCACATCTTTTTTGTTGGGACTCTGCCGAGAGCAGCTATACTCATCTTTGGAGTAGTAAGCCATAGCTGCCTGGACGTCCATTGGGTTCAGCCGTGTCTTTTTTACCGCATTAGGTGCAAACCATATCCCATGTTTTGCGCACCAGCGTCGGGATCTGTATATCATGTAAGCTGACAAGTTTGGTATAAGCGCTTGGAGTTTTCGGCGCTCTATATCGCTCGGCAACAGTGTCAACAAACGCATGCGTTCTTAATACGAAAAACACGCTTCATAGCTTGAAGTTCTTGAACCACTGGGTACACACACTGCATTTTAGATATGATGGTCGAAAGTGGCGGTTACACACGTTACGGTGGCATTTCACGGTTACTGTAGAA